CGCCGACCCTGGCCCGGCCTTAAAGGTGCTGCCTGCCCCTGCTTCTCCACTTCGGTTCATCAGCACCCGAGCCGCTCCCAGCCCCTGCCAGCCGGGGCTCCATGGACAGTCTCGGGGTGACACAGACTCGGGAGCCTGCGCAGGCCGCCTCTGCACGCTCTCTTCCTCCCTAAACCCAGCGTGGGCTCCTAAAAGCTGGCTCCAGCCCCTGTGCTTCCGGGTATCTTTGCCCCACAGGGACCTCTCCAGGGGGACACCTAACCCGGACGGCTGGGCCCTGGGGTCCAGCCAGAGCAGGCAGAGGAAGGGGCTTAGCACAGATCTGCGTGACAGACGTCTGAGATCCTCGGGGTCTGCGCAACAGTTTAAAGATTTGACTCAAGCTCCACAGCATGGAGGGGAAACTGAGGCACCGTGCCTGCAGAGTGCGGCTCCTCCTTTCCTAGAGGAGCCCTTCCCCCCACACCTCCCTTAGCCCCCAAGGGCCCCTGATCTTCTCGCTCTTTGTTTTGTTTTATTGTTTGAGACAGAGGCTCACTGTGTTCCAGGCTGGCCCTGAACCTGCAATCCTCCTGCCTCAGCCTCCCAAATGCTGGGGTGACAGGCGTGCACCACAAGCCTCTGCATCCGGCTTCCCATCCCTTCACTCTCCCAGTGTCAGTGTAACGACCTCCCGGGTCAGCTCACCCCTCCACCCCAGCACCCAGCCCTGCGACTGCACCCCAGTACCTTGGGTAGCACAGCTCAACCCCAAGTGTCTGTGCAGCCTGGGTGGGAGCAGAGTGGGTCCTGTCCCCCAGCCCTGCTACAGCTCCCGGTGCAGAGAGGGTGGTGACCCGGCTCTCCCTGGAGAAATGGCTGCGCATTATGGGCCTGGGTCAGGCGGATGGAGGCCCTGACATGCCCTGCACGGCCTTGCTCTGCTTAGGGCCACATGACACAAACGACTGGTAAAGGCTGGAAGACACTTGGTGTGGTGGCGCACTCCTGTCATCCCATCACTGCGGAGGCTGAGGCGGGAGGATCTCTGTAAGTTTGAGGTCAGCCTGGGATGCATAGTGAGCTCGAGGCCAGCCTGAACTCCACAGTGAGACCCCGTCTCAAACAAAGAAATCCAAATAAAAAGGCTCAAAGCCTGGGGGATTCTGAATAGCAGCCCACTGCCTGGGCAGCAAGTAGCACTCTCTGGACTGGAACTCCACTCTGTGTTGGGGGAGCCATAGCCATAACTCCTGAAGGAGCACCCCGAGAATGTGGGGGACAGGATGGGGATCGGGTGGAGGGTCGGGTCTGAAAGAGGAGGAGCCAGGCGGTCGGAGCTGGTGGGGGCCCGGGGGGGGGACACACGTCAGCGTCTAGGTCCCCGGGAGGGACAGGGGAGACCTGCGGCCCAGGGGGCGTCCATGCAGCCCGCTAACCTGAAACACATGGGCAGGGCGAGCCTGGGTCCCGTCGGAGGCCTGGACGAGGTGATGATGTACAGATTCTTAAATAAATCTAGCTCATTAGGGAGCCGCTGTCCAGAGGGAGAAAAACGAAGCCCTTCGCCTCACCGGCCTCCCGCTTCCAGAAGGCGGGGGTCCAGTGCCGCAGCCGGAGAGGAAACTGCATTAATACAGATTGTTTTATTTAAAAAACCTTGACCTCGACTTCAAAAAAAGTCATTAGGCATTCTGCTCGTTGGGGCCCCGCGGGATCCCGGGGGAGGCCTCCCATTTCTCAATGACTTAAGTGTCCCGCGGAGCTCGGACGGGCAGGGGATTTGTAAATCTTCTCGAGTCCGGAGAAACTTTAGCAGGCCGCGAAGGCCGTCGGAGGGAAACCTGGGAGCGGCCCTCCTCTCCTTTTCCCTTCTTCGTTTCTCCCCCTTTGGAGCTCTGATGTCTTTGGCCGTAAAAATGGTCATATTTCACCCCCAAAATATCAGCACCCAGAACCGAGGACGTGGCGCCCGCCCGGAGCTGCGCCGCCCGATTAGCGCGTTGGTTGAATTATTTAACGCCTGCCTGCGTCGGGCGGGCTGCGAACACGGCCTCCTGGCCGGGGTTCAAGAGCACGTTATAAATAATAGTAACGATTATACCCCCAATTGAGCCGGGAGCCAGAGCCCGCCCCGTCCCGCGTCTGGGATCTTCCCCTTCTGGGAGCCGGGCCCAGCTCCCCCAGCAGTAACCAGGGCGAGATGCTCCGGGCCGGAGGGCACGGGCTGCCAGGGCCGCACACCCAGGCGAGGGGGCAGGGCAGTCTTCGATCAGGGGTCTCTTCTCCGAGTTCTGCACCCAAGGGTGCCCCGGGCGAGGTGTGCGTCCTGGGAACCCTCAGCCGGGCTCACCCTACGTGATCAAAATATACGGTGAAGATTTACGTTAAAAAATGTGCTACCGTAAGAGACGAACGGCCAAGAATCCCCTCAAACCCTCCCCCTCGCTTCCAACACTGGGTCCCATTGTCCCTGCGGCTTCCTGCAGCAGCTCTGGGGTGCTCCTCCCTGAGGGTCTGTGGTTGGACCGTCCCGGCTGCCTGGATGCCCTGAATCGATTACAAATATTTCTCTTTCGTGGTCATTTTGATTTCGGGGAAGAGCCAGGAGTCTCCAGGGCCGGACTACGGCGGGTGAGGACGCAGCCACGCGCTTCTCTTTGACAGGAATTACCATAAACTTTCTGAACCAATTCAGGACACTGAAGCAACTGGGAAAAGCCCTCAGGAAGGACGATTTCCGGGACCGCATCCCGGAGCAGCAAGAACCGTGGGACAAGCGTACTTGAAACCAGGAAGATTTGGGGGCATGTGTGGCGGTGAGTCTTTCACTGCAATGGTTTAACCTTTTTCATGTTTGTTAGTACCCTGGGCAGCACGCAGGGGTCACTCTCCTCACGGGGACGTGGGACGCGAGTACATCACACCATCCTCCATCTCCTGGTCGCCTTCCCTTTGGCAAGATTTGAACCCTCGCCGCAGTATCCGTGGAACACACGGCGCAGTCTGCCCAGTTTAGTCCTCCGCGCTTGGCTACTGCAGCCCCACCTCAGTGTGGCCTGGGTGCCCTGCCAGGGCCGATGTCCCCGTGCCCCATGCCAGCCCTGCCCACTCCGGGGCTTTCCCACTCCCCCTGAGGTCTCTGGGGGGCGCCCACTGGAACCTAGAACCAAGCTCGGCACCCTGGTCTGCCCACCTGGGGCTGCACCCAGGTGGCCCTCACCAGCATCTTGTCCTTTGTCTCCAGCCCTCCAGCCAGGCCTTGTCCCAGGCCTGCTGGGTCTGCAGGAGCCCAGAACCACCTGGAGGCCACCCTGGCCTTGGTGGCCCATCGTGTGCCACACAACAATGAAAAGGGCACACAGTGTCCCAGCAGTGCCAGGAGGGCACAGCAAGCCTCTTACAGGGAGAAGCTGAGTTCGGAGAGGGCAGCAGGTGGCCCAGCATCGCACTGCGCGGCCATTTGGACAGACCATTACTGATCATGTCTTCATGCTGGCCCTGGGTTTCCTGGTAGCAAAGGGGAAGAGGGAAACACGATGGGTCCCATTATTTGCGTTTTTTATTTTAAAAAAGGGTGACTCCTCCAGCGGAAAAAGGCGCTTCCCAGCCCTAGTTCTCATGGAACAGCCTGGTGTGGTGATTAGGAGCCTGACAAACTGGCCAGGTCTCTGAAGCTACGCCCAGAGAGCCGGTCTCCCTTCGTGCCCTGAGAAGTGCAGGAGGCTGGCAGAAGCTGTGGTTTCCTGGCTCGAAGGGAGCCTGGTGACCCCGGAGACACCTTCGTCTCTGAATCTGCTGGGCGGGCAGACGTAAAAGGGTAGAGTTGTCCCTCGGTACCTCAGGGGACGGCACCAGGACCCTCAAGGCTACCAAATCCTGCCCTTTCTGGTCCCTTACATGAGTGGCACAGGAATTGTGCAAGCACCGACTATGTCCTTTAAGGGACATTTAGACTCCTCCCAAGGCTTAACAATGTGCATACTATGAATAGTGGTTACAAGATACTGTTTAAGGGCAAGAAAAATATCTTAGCACGTTTAGTACAGATGTATTTTTGTTGTTGTTTTGGTTTTTTGAGACAGGGTCAGTCTCTTTATGTAGCCCAGGCTGGCCTCAAATGCACGGCAGTCCTCTTGCCTCAGCCTCCCAAGTGTTGGAAGAGCAGCCGTGTGCCACCACTGGCTTTTTGCGGGGGCGGTACCGGGGATTGAACTCGGGTTCTTGCACTTGCAAGGCAGGCCACCGAACCGCTGAGCTAAATCCCTGGCTTTTTTTTTTTTTCTTTTTGATCCTAGGTGCA